GGGTGTCTCTGTTGCCTGAAATGCTGGCTGTTCCCTATGGGCAGCGCTGTTGCTGAAATGCTGGATGTTCCCTCTGGGTGGCCCATGCTGCAGGGGAGTGCAGGGCCCAAACGGCCGCTTGCGCCACTTGCTCCCCCCAGTGGCCCGGGTGAGTGGCGCAGAAGTCATCTGAGCGCCACAGCGGGAGGCAAAGAGGGGGTGGGGCGGTCACGTGCGGCATAACAGCAGATCCAGGCCCCACCCTCTGGCCGTGAACGTCACTACTCCACCCCCCTTTGCCTCCCACTGTGGTGCTCGGATGACTTCTGTGCCGCTCAGCCAGGCCACTGCGTGGGAGCAAGTGGTGCAAGTGACCATTTGAGCTCCTCGCTCCCCATGCAGCATGGGGAGTGTGGAGCCCAAACAGCCGTTTGGGCTCCGCGGTACCCTGAGAGGCAGGAGGAGGAGGAGAAGAGAAAGAGAGAGACAGGAGGCACAGGAGCGCTGAGAGAAAGGGAGGCAGGAGGAGGAGGAGGAGGAGCGAGAGACGGGAGGCTCAGGAGAGAAGACCGAAGTGGAGGAGAGAACTGAAAATCCTGTCTTATGACGGGCTAATTGACTAGTAACTGCAGAGTTGTTAATTGCCCATTTTATCCCGAATTATTTATTGCAACCCCTTATGCCTGACAATATGTTCCACTTGTTTTTGTATTTGGTTGTGGCCCTCCAGTTACCATGCTGAGGCCTGAAGAAGAGTTTTGTATAGCTTAAAGCTCATCTCTTTCACCAACACAGTATGGATAAAAGGTATTATCTTGCCCTCTTTGTCTATCTCATATCCTGGGATCAACATAACTATAGTGTTTTTGAAATAGACATTTGAAATCTGTTTCCTTTTATTTTAAGTGTCCCTAATTCACTGTAGGAGTCTCTCTGATTCTGAATATGCCTCTAATTTTCCAAGTGTTGTCCAAATAATTTTTCACACTTTGCTTTCCCTATCTGTAAAATTGAGCCAGTAATCCTTCCAGTTTGTAACTGTTTTAAGATTAATCTTTGAAAAAACCTAAGTGCAAAGTATTCTTTATTAAAATAGCCTTAATTTGATAACCATTGTGTAGTTTCTCTATAAGCTTCTTCTCCCTTCAGGAATGTAACTTCAAGAGTTTATTTACTTTTGTGGAAAGGTAGGGATTTTTTGTTCTATCGCATTATAGATGATTGAGAAATTTGTTCATGAGTTTGTCTTCATTGTGTTAAAATATTAAAAATCAATAATGATCAGATATCTGATTGTAAAGTTCATATTCCACTAGGTCAGGGATGAGCAATATTTTTTTATTGGAGGCCAGTCCAATAATTTGGAAAGTGGCCAAAGGCCGCATTCTTCCATTATATTGATGGAGGAGGTGTGGGGTCTAGGTTAGAGGTTAGACACAAAAAGGAGCTTGGGGTAAAGGAGGGAGTGTGGGTGAAGGATGCAGTTGTGACCTGGGGCACTGGACTGAAGTGAAGGGGTTTGGATTGTGACCTAGGGCAGGGAATTGGAGTACAGGAGGGTGTGCAGGAGTTTGGGTTGTGAATTAGGGCAGGAGGGACTGAAATATGGGGCAGCGGATTCAGATGCCAGATCTGGGAGGGAGTATGGGTACATAATGGGGGCAGAGCATTTGAGTATGCGGAGTAGGGAGGCAGGAGTAGGAAAGGTAGGGGCTAGGGTGCCAGAAACAGGCTTTGGCCAGGAAACTTACCAGCCAGCAGCACATTCCTGAATTAGCCCCCTGCCTGCGCTGCCCCTGCACAGGCTGCAATCACGTGCTCTGTGAATAACTATGAGCTCCTTGTGCTTCAATAGGATTGTGCTGGGGGTGGGAGCAGTTCCTAAAGCTTCCCCCTCTCCCCTCAGGGCTCAGTTTTTAAAGTGGAACCACTCTTCAGATGTGTTTCTGAGTGGTGTGTGGGTGGGGCGAGGCAAGCGGATAACCTGCCCGCTCCCTGCAGCTTTCGTGGGGAAGGAGCCATGACAGGCCGTATTTTGCCCAGGCCTGCACTAGATAGTGGGAGATAGTAGAATATGGCTGTAAAGCAGTTCCCACAAGGGCTGCTAGAGTTTGTCACCATTACTTTACTAGGACTGAAGCTGGCCAAGGCAGAAGGAATGCATCTTCATGTATGGTTTGATATACGAAAATGAAGGAGGGAATGGTGGTTCAATATTCCACATTATCTAAAGATAATAGGTTATGGGATAGACTGAAACAAAAGATGAATGTGTGTGTGATGGGACATACTCTGTCCCACTGTCAGCAAGCCTAACAAGTGTCCCTGCATTCAAGTACAGTAAAACTCCACTGGTCCGGCATCCAATGGTCCAGCACTCCTGATGGTCCGGCACCATCAGGAACCCAGAAGTGCTCTGGGCAGCCGGACAATTGGAGCTGCTCTGCCCCCAGCTTCCCTGATTCAGCCACTGCTGAAATTGACCAG